TTTCCGGAAAATCAGCCGTTTTCTGGAAAAACTTTCCAGCTGTCTACACTGGCCATTTGAATTTCCACAAAAGCACTGACTTCCTACTGTAAGAAATCAGTGTTTTTTGCGGAAATACTATGCTGCTCCCGTTCGGGCAAAACTTTTGCGCAAAAGGGCCAGTGTAGACAGCTGAGATTTGTTTTGTGCAAAAAAGCCCCAATTGCGAAAATGGCGATCGGGGCTTTTTTGCGCCAAAGCGCATCTAGATTGGCCACGGACGCTTTTCTGCAAAAAGTGCTTTTGCAGAAAAGCATCCATGCCAATCTAGATGCTCTTTTCTGAAAATGCTTTTAACTGAAAACTTTTCCGTTAAAAGCATTTCTGGAAAATCATGCCAGTCTAGACGTAGCCAGTATGTACCAAAAGCAGGACACTAAGAATGTTTTAACACATCCCTTTCTCTGCCTGCTAGCTAAAGCAAAAACTCAGGTCTGAGTATCACACTGATAAGGGATTTTAGAATCCAAACCTGGAGACGGACCCACCGTGGTCTAGCCCGGGAGATGGATTGCAGCCTGGCTCCATAAAAGTTAGCTCACCATAGCTACTTGGGGAGGTGGACCTCCTGTATTGATGGAAACCCTCCTTCTGTGGCAGTGGGAAGTGTCTATGTTGTGGTGCTCTAGCAGTAGAGCTATGACACCTGGACTGCCTACAGCGTAGCTGTGACCTGGGACTTGGCAGATGATGGCTCGGTGCTCTAGCAGTAGAGCTATGACACCTAGACTGCCTACAGCGTAGCCGCGACCTGGGACTCGGCAGATGATGGCTCAGGCACACAACTCACAGAAGGGAAGTCATTTAAAGTACCAGGACTCTTCGTTTTCCCACTTGAACAATGGGGCACATGCTCCCCATTTTACAGAGCTGTTGCTGAGAGGGTAATAAAAAAAAACATTCATGGCGGTGGGGCATAGTGGAGAGAGCCATGCGAGTGAATTTGAATGGCCTACAGGCATGGGCAGCAGGGAAGGGAAGCCAGCGGCAGGGAAAGGCCCTCCAGGTAGCCAGGAAGGATTGGGCTGAGGTCGGGTGGAGCCTCAAGCGGAAGGGGCGGGGTTGGGGCTTGCCTTCCCGAGTTGGGCCTTCACCCACTGCCATGCCTACCGGGATGCCTAGCTGTAACCCCCCACTGGCTTTGAAATCTAAAGCCATCATGAGCTTTGCTCTTCTTAGTTCCCATTTGTTTTACCATCCCCTGTTGTGATTAGGGCTCTTTGCGGCGAGGGCTGGGTATGCGCACATACACGCACCTTCCCTGACCTGGGAAGATCTGGCAACTTAGACAGAAAAAGGCAGACCAAAAGTGGAAGCAAGGGAACAGCCGTATCCCTGTTTTAGAAATGGGGCGCTCAGACATCTGGAGGTTAAGTAATATGTCCAAGGGCATTATTAGCACATGACAGTGGTTGCCCCCTCTCCCCCCCGGCCAAAAAAAGATACCCGGTTGACATGCTGTCTTTCAAAGCATGCTGAAGTGAACTCTGCCTTGTTCTGTACTGGGGCCCCACTGAATGACAACGAATTGATAAGGAAGAGAAAGCATTTATATTTGTCACAGATTTCAAAAGAATTCTGCCCAAAGAGGGGGCCAAGCTGTTTTCCACCTGCTATTTCAGCCATGCTCTCATAAATAATGGCAGCTCACTTCTGGTCCACCTGCCCCTCGGGACAAGGTCGAATGAAGCTACGCAACTTCCGCGACGGTAATTGCGTAGCTGAAGTCAAAGTAGCTTAACTCGGCTTTCGGCGCTGTCCCCATGGCAGGTCGAAGGGAGAACATTCTCCCTTCCACTTCCCTTCCTCCTCATGGAAGCAGGACTGCCGGCATCGATCACAGCGCCCCTCTCAGTTTGCACTCGCTGTCTTCACTAGACCCAATCATTCGAACCCTGGAAGATCGGCTGCTTCCATCTTCGCTGTAATGTAGACGTAACCCAAGTGCAATGAATCTGGAACATTTTCCATTGACACCGGTTTCATATTTCATAGTCCTCAGCCAGTGATGTTTCTCTTACCCTGCCTATAACCCCACCTTCACGGGGTCTCCTCACAAGCACTACCCTAGCTTAGGAAGGTAGAACTTCCTTCCAGCCTCGCTGAGGCTTCTCCTGGATCAGTACGAGAGCTTATTCTTGAAAGCCTTCCTGCAGAGGGCTAGTGCCCCATGTCCACACCGTTCTTCGGACCTACCCACCTGAGGAGAGAGAGACCGGGCCCGGAAGCTGTAAACAGGCCGTTTGCATTGCAGCGCTGTTCATTACGGGTTGGCCATCACCTGTCCACCCCTAGCAAAAAGCATCTGATAAAAAAATGCAACATCCTCGCCTTTTAGCTACCTGGGACCAAGGGCCAAACTCCGTCTCTTTGTACATCGTTGGCAAGAGGTTTCCTGTCACTGTCCTATCATGGAGGAAAGCACTCCACCAGTTAGACTCCTGCATGCTCCCCACTCTGAACCACTGCAGACTGGGAGCAGGACCTCAGTTCCTCCATCTTTGGTCTGTCTTCTCCCAGGGTGCTAACTGTTCTACTTAGCAATCCCGCGCTCCGAGCATTGTACAGAAAGGGCTTAATTTTCACATAGGGTTATCACATAGGGTTTCATGGCATCATCCCGGAGGTTTCATGGCATCATCTTTAATTAAAGAGGAATCTTTAATTCCTGGAGACTCCAGGACCATCCTGGAGATTTGGCAACCCTTTTTTTCACACACACACCCCCAAGTGGGTACATAGCGCTGTTCCCGTTGTAGAGACAGGGTGATAGACAGGCAAAGTGACTCATCCAGCACAACATGACTGGTCAGTGAAAGGTACGTCTAGACTGCAGCGCTATTTCGGATACCAGAGGTAGCTATTCCGCATCCTTTGAACCATCCCGTTATTTCAAAATAACAGGCTCACTATTCCGACATCCCTGTAACCCTCTTTCCACGAGGGTTAAGGTACATTTCAGAATAGCAATTTATTTTTAAATTTAGTGCTGAGTATTTATTTTGAAATAAGCTATTTTGAAATTTGATTGAAATAAGATACACAATTTGTGTAGCTCAAATTGCGTATCTTATTTCGACCTATGGGTGCAGTGTAGATGCCCCCTGACAGGACCTAGAACCTTCCTGGTATCTTATTTCGACCTATGGGTGCAGTGTAGATGCACCCTAACAGGACCTAGAACCTTCCTAGTGATCATTTCTCCATTCCCTTGGAGAAGGGAGGTGGAGCATCATGGGAGATGTGGGAGAGCTAGGAAGTCCCCCCCCCCAAATCTGAGAAGAGGGACATGAAGTAACTCTTATGAGGCACCAGCAAATATTTCCATTTTTGGATGTGGTGTTTTTCAACAAAACAACACATTGTTCCAAGTAAAGAAAAAAATTTTTTGTCAAAAAATGGTTTTCTGGTTGGAAAATAGTTTTGACAGAAAAAATTCAACCAGCTCCAGCAGTTCTGTGGGGATACAAAGGTGAGAAGGTCTACATGTTTATCCCTTCTATCAGGCAGCAGCATTATCCTGTGCCTTAAAAATGGAGACCTTTCCGATATGACATTCTGTGCCCACTCTCAATGGGGATGCAAACAGCTTGACAACTGAAAGTACCACAATCTGGGGGACTTTACAGGGATATGAGGTAGCAGAGTACGGGAAGCAGAGCATGTTAATGGAGAGTGTAATTTAAGGGTATAACGTGATGTTATTAGGCCAAATGCTCTTGAGCCTGTGGAATTATTTCAGTACAGACTTTGGCTTCTTGTGCACCTTTGTCTATTTCATCAGCTGTTTGCAAGCTTTATTCCATTCCTCCTTTCACGGAACTGTGTGTAACTAATTAAAGACTCTGTTGCCTTTTTTAAAACACACACGAAGTAGCATCGTTAGAGTTCAGAGCGTTCACACTCTGGCTGTGATCCGACAGAGCCCTTAAACACGCGCTTGACCTGAAGTAAAACGATGACAAAGCAACTCCACGTTAAGCATGGGCATAAGGGGTTTATCAGGATCGGATGCTCAGTGTCTTCTATGAGTAAGAGCTTACCCATGAAAAAAAATAGCATGGCCATATTGACCCACAGCAAACTCGGAGCAAATTCTTGGTTCCTCCTTGCTGGTGATTCTTCTGTGTTTTTAAGACTGTGAATTCTTCTCTTTGTAGCCTGACATCAAATGGTTAAATGTGCCTGTTTAACTGGATAATAAGCTACTGACACTTAGTATGTCTTCAAAGAAACTCACTGTAAATGCGATCAAACCAATATGACGGAGTAATTTTATGCACTACACATGCCTATTTAAGGAAATGCAAAGCAAACCTGCAGTTTTATGTGCCCTTCTAGAGATTAAATCTGTGTAGGAAAACAAAATACAGATTGCTTAGTTATTCCCTCTTGGAACTCCCTATAACTATGACAAATATCTCCATAGAACTTCCTGGTTAAATATGAAAAGATTGTTTATAGTTGGTGTCTGATCGATAGACCCTGTTCCTCCGTATTGCCCCCTGTAACAGCTAAGACACAGTGATACATGGAAACACGAGTGGAGCATCTGTATTTCAAAACTGAGCCCAAATATTTTGCACATGCAAGGTGGCGGGTTAGAGAAATAATTGCTCAGCTGCATAAAGAGGTGGTATCTATTAAAAACACAGGTTAGAAAAAGTTCAGTCATTTGACCAAACGGTCAAGTTTAACAGGACTCAATGAAAGTGAATATAGCTCCCAAGAGGTTCATAAAGCCACACATGGGAGCACTCTGTTGCGGAGGAGGGCAAAGTTAGCAATAAATCCATAGGTTTTCATGTGCTTTCTATTAGCATTTGTATTTACCAGCAAAGATACCATATTCGGTTGGAACCATAATTTTCCCCCCTTCACAACTCATCAGAACTTCAGCCGTGTCGCTGGAGTGAAGGAATAATGAGGAATCCGTGAAACTACAAATACTCTTTACATACCTTTTGGATACCAGAACTTTGTAGATGCTCCCAAATCTTCTTCCTGATTGTGAATAAGGCCCTGAATTCTCACGCGCTGTTTGCTGTTTTCCACTTGGGCATTGTGTTCGCCATAAAAGCAACCCATTTCAAATGCACGTGTCAAGAGACCTGCAGAAGGAAATACATCCACGTAAGAATGATACCTCTGCAGCATGAGATTCTATTCTGGATGTGCTACTCTTTGGGTAAAAGGGACTTTTCCTTCTGGATTTGTACAGCATTTAGCACACTGGGGGCCAAATCCTGCACGATCAGGTATATGCTATGGTAATAGAAATAATAAAATAATACATGAATGCAGCCCTGGTGTCTCTAAAGATGATTGAGGCCTGATTCCAAGAAATAAGAAAAACCTAATGCTAGGTCCCTCTATTGCTGTTATATAACCTTGGCTGAAGGAACCGAGAGCTAGAATTTTGAAGATATTTACGGACCTACCTCCCATTGGAGATCAGGTACCTAAATATCTTTAAAAATCTGAGCCTGAATTACTACAGTTTAGTGTCTCCTGTAATCCTGACCTCTTGTAGCTTCTTCTCTGTGTGGCTTCGCTGCGCTATCCATGCGTCACTTTTAATCTTTAATCACACCAGCCCACTAATCGTTGTTGTTACTTTTCTCTGGAATTCCTCTACTTTGTCAATACCTCGCTGGTAAGGAGGGGCTCAGGCCTGAAGGCATGTTGCAAAGAATCATTAAGAAGAGGGCTTGTTCCTTCCCCTCCCCGTTTCATAACCACCCTGATGGTTATTTTTGTACTTTTTACACCCCAAAATTTCATCGCCCGTCTGGCTACGATTAAATTGTTTAAACAAATGTGTTGCAACGGTAGGAAAAAAATTGTGTGTGTCTGAAAACTGTGGGTACTGGGGGTACCTATACTTTTTTTTAAAGGGGTACCTAATAAAAAAAGGTTGAGAAACACTGATCTAAATCACTAGAGACTGCCCCAAATCTCTGTTTTACCGCATATTGTCCTCCTCGGATGACAGGCCTTTGGCCAACTCCCTGCACACAGGACAATACTCATATCCAAGCTGATTTAACTTACTTCTGAGAGGCAGATTCCATGAGAACTCATATAATCTGATGACAGAAAAATAGACACGGGAGAGCCAGTGGACCACAGTACAAGGGAGTCCTCTCATTCCTGTGTATTGTGTCAGGGCAAACGTCTCCACGGAGGGAAAGTAAAGACCCGCTCAATCGAACTCAAAGGGTGCCCCTGTCAGTGGCTGGTACGCTGTGGGGCCTCGCGCTGTGGGGACAGTGGGGAAACTCGAATCAAGGTACGTCGACTCCAGCTACGTAACTAATGTCGCTGGAGTTGTGTATCTTGATTCAACTTGCTCCTTTCTTGTAGACCTGGCCTCACTCCAGCCAATCCGGGTCTGACCCTGAGCTCTTATTCCTGGGTCTGGCAGTGGGCTCCGAATCTCAGCTGACAACTCCGGTTTTAATCTCGAGGCCCGACTGCCGCTCCCACCGCTATCCGCAGACTCCCACGTCCCAGGCCCAAGACTGGAACAATGGATATTAAAAATATCAAAAAGCCCTCTTGGACATCAGCCCAGATAGGAACTCTTTGAAGCAACATAACTGGAGAAATAAATACCTCCGAAATCTCACTTCTGATCCTTTTATCAAAGGTCCTAAAAACTGGAGTCTCCAAAGTGCTTTAAAAATAATACCCATACACCCAAACCTCAAAATGCTGCAGTGATTCTCCAGGGACACTGCATCCGGGGCGGATATAGGGCAGGGCGAACGGGGCGGCCGCCCCGGGCCCCGCGCTTCAGAAATCCCCGCGCATGCTGCCCGGGGCCCCGCAAAATGGTCATCTGCCCCTGACTGTATCCATGGTCAGGGGAAAAGCCAGCACGCTTCCCATTCAAAAAGCAATTACATAGGTTGTTTTCTTAAAACTTCAAATGTTCCTTCGCCAGCGATGATATCACTTTACGTTGATTTTATTTATTTGAGAGAGGCTGCTTTTTATTAACCACTCTACAAAAAGAGTTGGGAATAAACACCAATTAAAAATAAGATTCAAACTCAATATGGGGAAAACATCCGGTAAACTATCACTGGTGTGTTCCTGAATCCTAGAGATCTGCCCTGCAATGCCAGCTCTGTTACTTTCCTCAAAGTTCTGCCTAACAATTCCCCTACCTCATCAAGATCATCCTGGGAACGGGCCCAGAGATGGACGGGTTAGATTCACTGCCGATAATCAACGGAGCGAGGCCGGTTTAGCTGTGCAGCTGGCCCACTGGTTTTTAAATGTCCATACTTCCTTTCCCTCACTCCTTGACTGCGCGACGTGTCTTTGAGAAGATGCGGAACATTCACCTCCGTGCAGATATTGACATGGACCCCGAGGACGTTTCAAAACCCAAACACTCTGCGGCGCAGAACAGGGCAAGCCACACCCCGGCAGCCGAGGCTGGTAACTTAAAAGGAGCTGCGTGAGAGGTGAGACGGTCGAGTGAATGAGCCGGGCACAGGACTATGACTCAGAAGACTGGAAGGCTATTCTTGGCTTTGGCACTGACTTGCTCTGGATTCCTGGGAGGGTCACTTCTCTGTTTCTCCTCATTGTTTGATTAGACTAAACACTGCAGGTGAAATCTCAGGCCTGTGGAAGCCAAAGCAAACTTCCTCTTCAGTTCCAGGGACGAGAGGGTTCCCCTCCATGCGTTTGTACAATGCCCAGAACACAGCAATTCTCATATTAGTTGGAACTTCCAGCTGCTATTGTAACGGGAACGCTAGTCTGACATTTTGTTGTCCTCTACATATTTGCTGACAGCCATTTTTTTTGAGCCCACCACTGTAATATCGAGGCACCAAATAGCTTGCCAAGAAATGCAATGTAGATAACAAGAAGGACCAATTCTCATAAAGCCATAGCACCCAGAGTTCCAAAATCCATAAAGCCCAACAAAGCAATCTATGTTGCCAGAATGCAACGCACCTGAATATAAGCACTGTTGTGTTGTATTGCACATGGGAACCCGAGACGGTTACATAAAGGCAGAGAGATGTTACATGTATCTTTGTAGTGAACATTAATTATTATGTCACATGTACTGTGAACAGAGTATCTGTCACAGAAGGAAGAAGGTTCCTATGAGGAGCATGCAAACCGGTTGTTGCTTCAAGGACCAACACTGACAGGATGCGCCATCGAGCTACATAGTTTCCCTTCAGTGCTGGGTAGGGCTAAAGTTCCATTCGATTGGCTTTTTTAAGGGTTGTTTACATTGGGACATCCAGGAAGTTACTCCAAATTAACTGAAGATGTGAATTTGAAGAGGATTCATTAAACTGCAATCAATCTCTGTGTGAACAACCCACATTCGAAATTAGCCCTGGTCTAAACTACTAAAATGTTTGGGTATAACTTCATCACTCAGGGGTGTACACAGCCTCTCTGAGTGGATTAACTAAAACAATAGGAGAAGCTCTCTTTTGTAGTCTCAGGGCGTCTTCATTAAAGCACTCTCCTTCTCCAATCAGCATTTCAAGGGTAGCTTGCCCTTAATCGTTACTTGAATTCATTTTATCTTAATTCACTTCCAAAGTGAGTAAACGAAACCAAAATAATGTGGCTGTAATTCTAAATAACAGCATCCCCACAAAGACTGAATGCACCAATTCATACCTTTCGTTAATTTCCCAGCTGTCCCCCGTAGGCAAACCCTTAGACTACGTCTACACTATAGCCTCTTGCACAAAAACATATGCAAATGAGGCAAAGCATGGACTATCACCATGCCTCATTTGCATAATTTAAAAAATGCGGAAGAACAACTTATGTGCAAGCGGGGGGTTTTGCGCAAAAAGAAGCCATGTAGACGGCTCCTTTTGCACAAAAGCATCTTGCGCCAAAACATGCCTCATTAATTATGCAAGTGAGGCATGGTGATATTCCATGCTTCGCCTCATTTGCATATTTCTTGCGCAAAACGGGCACAATATAGACATAACCTCTGAGAGCTGTTGGCCGTCCATCCAAGACGTCTCCAGAGTGTAACTTATTTCAGCTACAGTCAGCCATCATGTGAATTGGCTCCGTATTTTTCTGTGATGGTTATGCATGGGAAGAATGTCGGGATTGAGATAAAGCCACCCCTGCTGGTTCAGACGACACACTGCCTTTTGGAGCCTCGCCATGGCAAAGAGATCTGGAGCACTGCCCCATTAGCAGCCATGTAGAACTGGAGAGCCGCTCTCTTTGCAGAGTGGCATTCTGTGCCTGGATCAGCGACCAAGACCGAGAAGCTGCTGGTTGTCCCTCGAATTTATTTTTGACTAGATTTACCCAGCATTACTCAGGTCCTTAATTCATATTTGGGTTTGTTTGTTTGGAAACTAACATGAAAATGTCCAGGCTTCATTTAAACCACTGCTCTGGGGTGGCGTTGGGGATGAGGGGTGCGGTCTGTAGGCTGCTGCCAGGAGAGAGGACAACCCCAGCCATCTCTCATCGCAGGTGCATGGAGCCAGGTAAGAAACATCTCTCCGTGGCTGCTGTATCTCCAGAAGGCACAGGCAGGTCCAGGTCAGAGTGAGGAATGCAGCAAACTGGGCACTTTCCTCCCGCTCCCTGATGAAGGGGAACAACCAGCAACATCCCTGTACAAATCGGGGGGGGGGGGCAGCTTCAGCCTCCTCCATCCTCCCTAAAGGGCACCTGGGGAGTGGGAGTCTTAGGGTTGGGGCAGTGCCGGAGGGGGGGGGTGACCCCCGCTCCCCAGCCACCCTCTTTCATTTGCGTGGTGATCCTGTCTCTTTTCTGTATGGTTTGATGAGGAACAAACAATCCCATTCCAGGCACATCCTATTTTCCTGGCCCAACCAACTCCGGACCGTGCTTTAAGTTATGAGAGGAAGCCGCTTACCGGGTTTGGTGGTCCTCACTCTGAGGCTACGTCTAGACTGCAAGCCTCTTTCGAAAAAGAGCATCTAGACTACAACCAGTACTTCCAAAGAAGCAACCAGTACTTTCGGAAGTAAATTGAAAGAATGCGGCAGTTTTTTCGACTGCGGAAAACCTTGTTTTATGAGAAATAATGCCTTTTTTTCAAAAGTGCTCTTTCGAA